GAGAATTATGACAGTTTGGTAACGAGTTGGATCAGCATGGTAACGGATGTGATTGGCTCTTTCGATTCTTATGATGTAGTGAGTTTTTACAAGTGTTTTGCGGCGATACTCTTGGGTTTTGACGACCTGCGTGGCTTGGTTGAGTTAGAGAGGTTCAGTTTTGTCAGCTTGATTATGTGCAAATGGGCTTCAGAGTTCTCAAGGGTTTCTACCATGGTTCGAGGTGTATATTTTTTATTGATGTGTGGGGCATGATGCGTATTGCAATTTTCTCCTAGGTGGGATCAAATGGAAGGTCCTTGGCTAATTGAGCATGCGGTTGCTTGTGACTCGGAGTGGATTATGAAATGATGTTCTCGTATTTTTCATATGATGGCATGGTATGTGCGGTGTGGTGTGTGGTATTGAGATTTGCATGAGCAAGGTCAGTTCAGTTTTGAATAGAAGGTCATAAAATTCTTAGGCAGCAGGGACGGTTTTTGATGACTAGATAAATGATATTACTATTAGACATGGCTTTATGAGAGTGTAAGTTTCAGAAGGGGCACTATGTTTTGATTTATGGATACTTCATTGGTATTGTGGTACTCGTCTAATTGATCGACTATTGATAATCAAATTTCGCTTTGTGGCACAGAAGAATTATAGAAGTATTCCTCGTGGGATGATCGTGTATGAGAGATGTGTAGACATTCGGGCGGTGGAGTTGGGATCAAATATGGCGATTCATGTGTTCTATGGATTTGGAGTGTGGGAGTTCTCAGGAGTAGATTGTTTCGTGGTTGTGGACTGTGAAGATGTGGCCAAAGCTAGACAAATGATAGTATGCTTTATAGTTCAGTCATTGTGGACTTTCAGATTGTTATGTATCTATTTTTGGGTGACCAGAGTTGGTTTAGGGTCTATTGGTAGGCCCAATGAGGATGTGTGTTCTACACCGGGTCAGATTGGTTGGCTCCATACTGCTATTTTTGAGGGATGTGCCATTCGGTTGTTGTTGAGCTTACTTTTGTTCTGAAATGATTTGTGAGTTACTATTCTATTCTACGAGGAGTTGTGATTCGTTTGTTATAGACACACACGGTGCAGTTTTATTAGGGCTTTATAGCAGAATTTGACCGAGATTGGTATTTGGGTGTTGAATGATTGATTGCGCATCGGTTATGTTCATTCCGGACTATGCAATTGAGTTATTTTCTTCAGTGGTTATAGTCGTGCACTTTTGGTACAAAACGTCAAATTGCGAGTGGTTATTGATTTTGAGCATCGTGACTCGAGGTATTTCATACGGATCAGTGATTGGATGGGGTCGCGCATTGCAACGAAGTTATGTTGGGATATGATCATTTGTGTTAGATTCGTGTGTTTTGGTTCTACGGTGTGTGATGGGTTCTTAGCATTGTGTTGTGGTGGTACTTGTTAAGCTTGCGGGATGATTCCCTCATTGGAGTCATTTTCTATGTTTGAGCATGATTGAATTGTTGCGTATTGGTGCAAAGATTGCAGGGTTTACGGCTCCGGTTAGTATTGGTGAGCCATGTCAGTAGAGTAGGTTGTATTTGATAAAATGAGGTCGTCAGACCTAGAATGGGTGCTATCGGATTTGATTGCGGTATATTTGTAAGGATAATGTCGCTGATCGGCTTAGAAATTGGCTATAGTTCTTGTCGAAAGAGGGGGAGCTCCATGACTTGTTGATCTGATGAATGGTTATGAGTTTCTGCGTGTTTCTTCATCATCTGCAGTACACGAAGGCTTTAGAACGAGGTTTTGTTTGACATGAGGTTTATTACCGGTATTGGGTTATTTTGAGCAGCTACTGTGATCAAAAATCTTGCTACGAGTATGCGAGTCGTGTGGTATGTCGGGTGATTACATCTTGGGTTGTGGTTATGTCTTGATACAACTTGTTTAGACTTGTACAGTGTGTAGATGCGAAGTTCGGGTCTTGTAGTAAATTCCGGATGTAAGAAATTGGATTTTGTGGTTTACGGACTAAGGTTGAAGTAATGATCTTCAGTTATGTTGTGTTGTCAGGCCTATATGGTATAGGGTGACGTGGGATCACCCGCGGGTATGTGCATGTTAAGTTTACACGGCAGTTTGACGGCCTAGGAACAACTCTTGGCACATTTGAGGACGAACGTATGTTTAAGTGGGGGAGAATGTAACGACCCGACCGGCCATTTAAAGCATTTGCACTTCGCTTGGTAGTTTGGGGGCACGAGTAGCTCCATATGATGTATTAGGACTTATGTGCAAAATTTGAGTTCATTCCGAGTTGATTGATATGTTTCGGCGCGAGTTTTGGAAGTCGAAAGTTCGAAAGTTCATTAAGTTTGATTTGAGGTGCGTTTCGTTGTTTCAATGTTGTTATACGTGATTTGAGGCCTCGAATAGGTCCGTATTATATTATGGGACTTGTTGGTATGTTCGTACGGGGTGTCGAGGGGCTCGGGTGAGTTTCGGATAGGTTTGGGCTGTGTTGCGCTCGTTTTTCTTATGTTTCGACGTCGCTTCTTCAAGCCTAAATGGTACCACATTAAGCAAATGAGCTCAAATTCTGTTTTGATTGAAGCATTAGATCCGTATTTTAATTACGGAGGTATAGCAAAAATAATCGTCGAATTTGGACATCGTATGAGGATTTTATGGCCATTTTACTAAGAATTGGGTTACCAGATTTTTTTCAGATTAATTGTGAAATTGCCACTACTTCGTATTTAAAAATCTGCACTATTTTCAAATATTGAAACCAACATATCTCCTTCATTATAAGGTCAAACGGAGTGATTCAAAAGTCTATCTTGACTGAAATTTTACAAGAAATCCATTGGAGGCATCAAAAGTAAGTTTTGGAATCGTTCGGCATGCAAAACGAGGCAGAACAGCTGGACAAAATTATTAATATGGAAGGTTTGTTCATTTGGTCATATTTTGAGTTGGGGAGCTCGGATTTGGACAATTTTTGGAGGCGATTTTCACCATATGGGGTAAGTTTTCTATACTCAATTTTTGTTATACTTCATGAATCCATCTTCGTTTTTGGCATTTGATTGATGATTTCAAAGTGAAATTTGGGGGTTTTGTCTAAAAATTTATAAAGTAAATTTTGGAGTTTTGAACACCGATTTAGAGTCGGATTTGTAAAACTAGTATGATTGGACTCGTAATTGAATGGTTTGTCGGATTTTATAAGTTTTGTCGGGTTGCAAGGTACGGGCCCGGGTTGGGCCTTTTTGCCGATTTTGGGCTTTTGATTAAAGATTCGACCTTTTTCGATTGGGATTTGTTCCTTTAGATTGTTTGATGTATTTGATTTGTCTTTTTGGTTAGTTTAGAGCCGTTCGGAGGTCGGAACGTGGGTGATGGCATTTTTGGAGCATCGTTTGGCTTGCTCGGTAGTGGAATCGGCTTGTTCAAGATAAGTAACTCTTCTAAACTTAGTGTTGAGGGTATGAAACGCCAAATTATGTGTTGTGTGATTAGTATTGAGGTAACGCACATGTTAGGTTACGGGCGTGTGGGCGTGCACCCTGTGAGTTGTGACTCCCTTGTTTTCCCTGGCACTGACTAGATATCATGTTTGGAAAAACTATGAAAAAACTGAGCATTTTATCTCTGAGTTACTTCTTTATCTAATTGTCTAATGTTGTTATGAACTGATGTTGGCTTTTGATGTTGGACTCGACCTTTGTTCAAGCTCGTCACTACTTTCAACCTAAAGTTAGGTTTGTTACTAATTGAGTACATGGGGTCGGTTGTACTCATACTACACTTCCTGCACAATGCGTGCAGATTCTGGATGCCGATGTTGCTGTGGTCGATGGTTGCTGGATAAGAAGATGTACTTGCGTTCCGGTTGTAGCTGCCTCTTGTTCATGGTAGTTGTAGATTATAAAACTCTGTTTATGTACTTTTCAAACAGAAGATGTATTTACTTCATATCAGCTTTGTAATCTCTATTCTTAGAAGCTCTTGATTTGTACTACTAGTCCTTGAAGAAAAGTAATAGATCCAGATAATTTATTTTGTTTAATCGACTTGTCAACATTATTGGAATTTGATAGTTATTAGTTGGCTTACCTAGTGGGTTGGGTTAGGTGCCATCACGACTATATATATATATANATATATATATATATATATATATATATTATGCTCCATATGTTTCAATTTATGTGAATCTATTTCCTTTTTAGTCCATGCAAAAAAAAAATGACTTCTTTCTATATTTGGAAACAATTTACCTTTATGCAATGATTTATAGCCACAAAAAATATATGTGCATTATTTTACTCCACAAGTTCAAAAACATCAATTTTTTCTTAAACTTCATGCTTAATCAATTAGGTTCACATAAATTGAAACAGAGGGAGTATATTTTAATTATATAACATATATTTTTTATACAAAATATACAATATACAATACATTAATGGGGAAGTTGGAAAAAAGAATTTATAAAATAGATACTTTTAGGTAAGAGAGAATATTAAGAGAGATATATTAGTATACGTTTTAGGTGAGAGAATCTCAAGAGAGATATACTAGGGATATGAAAAGTTGTAAATTATAAAATAAATTATATTATATATAATTTTGTGAAAGTAATTGTAGAAAATTTGAATAAGTGTTAAAAAGATTTTATTCTATGTAAATTATATCACTACCATTTAAATTTTGACCTAGTTTGAAAAAAAAAATTACAAAACTGATTTGCGGCTAAGTATTAGGTTTCAAAGTCCTGACGAATGGTCAGAATTTCAAATTGTGGAGCAAAACCTGCGGATTGTTAGGCTTTATGGCCAAATTGTTCATTTGGCAAATCCAAATGGGAAGAAATTGCCTTATCATAAATCATGACGAATCGCCAGGCGAATATGAATTACCAGAAATTTCGCCACAAGATATTGACGATTGCTATAACTTACTATTATGCGAAAACACTGGCTAAATGGAATACTGAGTATTCATGAAACTAATTTTTTGGCGCAGAAAGCAAGAACATACAAAAGTTTTATTTTTTTCATATAATCATACAGAAAATACTACAGACGTACGAACATCCAGTTCATAGAGAAGATATAAACATAAAAGGATAGTATATTACAGCTGCAAACATATATTAAAACATATATAGCACTAGGGTTCATAATTTAACTCGTATAGAATAGCGGTAAACAAACCCTAAAATGGTCTGGAGACTTGGTGAAATATATAGATTCCCCATACATATAATCGTCTCGAAATCACATAGATCAGTTGGGTATGAGCTTGAAACGAGGCTTAGAAAGGGCAGGTGCTGGATCATATCTCCCATAATCCTTTGTGTTTGCCTTAAGAAGCCTTTCATGGATTTCATTCATCTCCTCATGGTGTAATTGTTCTCCTACTGACACTTCCTGTCATGAATTGGTATACGTATATCACAATTGTATTTCACTTATATATATATAATGATAGTATAAACAAAGATTACGCTATTTCGATCAATTATAACAGGTAACATGCCTTAGTTTTCCATGTTATTACTCCTTCTGTTTCAATTTATGCGGTACACTTTTCTTTTTAGTCTCTCTAAAAAAAAGACGACACCTTTCTATATTTAAAAATAATTGATCTTTGAGATTCTCATTTTTTTTTTCCTTAATGAAATAATTTATAACCATATAAATGTATATAGTTTATTTTAGATCTTTCAAAAGTTTTTCAACATAAAATGGGACCGAGGGAGCAATTTATTCCAATTATTATGGATGGTAACCTGCGATTCTCTTTTCCGTGGCTATATACTGTCAATGAATAATCAATTTATGTTAAATCATGAAGGACTGAAAGAGATTAAACTTCATTTCTTGCTTATTATTACTCCTTAGATTTACTCATCAATTGACAATCCAAAATAAGTAAACCAACAGCAAAAGCAAACCTTATGAGTTCCACCCAGCTCTTTTTTCTCAAAGTTGCTTACAAGTCTTGACTGTCGACCTGCATCATAATTCAAAACGAAAAACTTGTATAAAAAGCGCAATAGATTAACTTTGCCTGCTTTAGATTATGTAAAAAGAAAAAAGGCTGATTGTCAGACAGCTTGTGAAAATGACCTAAATACCAAAGAATAATTAATTTAACTTGACTAAAGAAAATAATCTGACAATTCCAAAGAATTAAGCTAGTTCCTTCTACTTGAGATGGTATATATAGACCTAAATACAAGACCAATATTCTTAAAACTATGATTTACACAACCAAAGTTGACTATTTATACGACTGCATGCAGTGCTGTTTCATTGGCTTTTTCCGTTCCACTTTATGTACATACGTTCAAAGTACAAGAGCCGGTGTGAATTAACACATAGAATTTAAAAAAAAAAAAAAAATTGAAATAAAATTTACATCTTTAGAAACTACATAAAAGGTATAAAGTCACAATAGCTTGCGCTTTAAAATATTTAAAACATATTTGCTTGTTGTTGCACCAAGAGTCGTTGAAAAAAAAACACTCTCTGCAAATAGTAAATGCGTCACACGAAATGGAACAACGGGAGTATGTTATTTCTTTGGAAAGAGTTATTCTCCATCTAGTAGCACGAAGGTCTCGATGGAAACAAAATAATTAAGTTGATATGTTGGAACAGAGAGAGTATTTTATTTTCTGGAACTAATTTTTCTCGATAAGAATAGACGTTGTTCGACCGAATATATATATAGAAAGAGAAAGAGAGGGGACAACCAAAAATGTTACTGTACAACTACAAGAAGAATCAAGAGTCCAATATATGTTGGATGCGTTTAACTCAATAAACCTACCTGCACATGAAGTGGACAAGAAAGAAGTAGAAATGAGAAGGAAGAAGAGACCAATTTTCTTGAGTAGCATGAGACCATCCATTTGTTCTTTTTCTTTCTTTCTCTTTCTTCGAAATGATCATAGAAGCAATGATACCTTCCCTCCTAGTTAAATCTCTCTCTATTGCACCAGATAACATTCAAATTATGTGTATTTGCTTTAAAGTAGAGTGGCAAGCTTAGAGATAAATGATTACTAATATTTTACTCTAAAGAATTCAATCCTTATGCTTTATGGTTTTATATAATTATATCATGAAAAGATGAGAGACGCCACTTTTCTTTTGTTGGGACACCAAGTCTAAAGAGTTAGTCATAGTGGATTAATATACTATACTACTTAATTAACAAAAATGATCCCTAACAATAAGTTTCACTATGCGCCCTTTGTTTTTAGCACGAAAGCTTATCTTCATATTTTCGACATCTCCTTGCAAATTGCCCCTCAACATCACATCCAAATATTCTTCCTCAACGTCATATTTTCTACATCTCCACGCACATACTCGTATAGATACTGATCAGTTTAACATCAGGGGTACGCTAAAAAGAAATTAAGAAGAAACAGGGAATTAACATAATGGACATGATTTATTACTTAGACAAATCTGAATGGCTTTTTATTTACAAAAGAATTGTTTTTATATATGACTGTGAGATTCTGTCAAAGTTGTTTGAATTTTTCCTACAAAAATTAGTTTAGTGACTCCCTGTGATACTTAGGTAAAGTTGAGTGAATACTTTGTTACAGAAAATAGTTTCATGACTTTGTCGCATAAAACCTGTGTGACCATCCTTGAAATTAGATCTTTAAATCTCCAACAAAAAACTTCAGAGCTCAACAAGAAGTTAATAAGCTAAAAAAGAGGTTATAAAGCTCGATTAACAAGGTCATGATTGTATTGGTCTTTTAAAAGATGAATTAGGTAAAGAATTAATTAGCATTCAGAGGTGAGTAGTGCTTTCAATTATCCAAGAAGACAAATACTACCCACCAAATGCCACTTTTAAAGGGAAGTGGCGATGGTGGAGGATAAAGAGAAGCACACTACTCTCCTTCTTTTAATATTCAAATGATACTAGTGCTTGTATATATTTGATAATTTCCTGCAAATCACTCATTTAAAGGGACACATTATAATAATTTGCTCATCTTTCTATCGGTTGGGCTGCTGTACACAAGAGCGAGCGACTTTAATTTGGGATATCAAACTTAAATTCTAACTTTTTGCACAATGATCAACGAAGGTCATTTTAATAAATAATAAAAACAGAAGAAGAGCAAGCTACTCCTAGAAAATAAGAAAATATATTCTTCTCAAATTTCAAAAATATTGACACTATTTTCTTGTTAGTCCATTTCGAAAAGATTGGTACATTTCAATATTTCCTTAATAAGAAGCATTTATAGCCACACAAGTGATATGACAAGCTTCATATCATAAGTTTCAAAAGTTTTATAGACACACAAATGTTATGGCTTATTTTAAACCACATATATATCTCCAAAGTTATCTCTTATTTATTAAAATTTATGTCAAGTTAAACTAAGACATTCTTTTTGAATCAGAGAGACATAACCAGTGGCGGATCCAGGATTTTAAAGTTATGGGTGCTCGCCGATAAAAACTTCAAAAGAAGAGGAAAATGAATTTACTTGTAGGTGCTCGCTCAATATTTATCTAAATATTTGTACAGTTGCCTATATAAATTTATTAATATGTTCAAAGTTAATGGATGCTTAAGCACCCATAACTCTCAACGTGCATCCGCCACTGGACATAACTGCAGCAGTGATTACAAGTTTACAATTATTGACTAAACACCTTTGACTTAGAAAAGGATGCAGATGCAGAGTTGGGATCCTGAGTCAATCATACTATAGAATGTGATGAAAGTGATGTTTGTCTTGTTGGCTTAAACATAAAATGATCATCATTTTTATCGAAATCGATCTAGATATGACGGTATGATTAAATTATTTAATTTGATATAAATATCGAAGGCAAGTAAATAATTTTTCGTTTCAATACACAATTTGCTATTGAGTAGGCTCTATATATGTTGCTAGACTTTAGATTATATAAGGTGGCCTTTGAACTAGAAATTCTCTTTTCTTTGAGGCGTCTACTCTGGGGTGGAATCCAACTTTTAGAAGACTATTACTCCCTCTGTTCCAGTTTATGTGAACCTATTTTCTTTTTGGTCCGTTCAAAAAAGAATGACCCCTTTCTGAATTTGGTAACAATTTAGCTTAAACTTACAATTCTACCCTTAATGAGAAGCTTTTATAACCACACAAATACTCTGGGCCCCTTTTTGACTTGTTTTGGACCACAAATTTCAAAAGTCTACATCTTTTCTTAAACTCCGTGCCCAGTCAAACAGGTTCACATAAATTATAACGGAGGGAGTACATGACTGGGAGGTGCCGAGGATTACATAGTTTTTCAAAACACTGGATCAAACCAAGCGACTGCAAGAGGGTATAGATACAATGAGATGGCAAAATTATTCCAGTGGAATTTTGCACAATTAATTCAGCATATAAAGATTTGAACCAGGAAGGATCTCAGATTACACACTGGCCATGTAAACACATTTGGAAAGTCAAAGGTACCATATAACGTAGCATGTTTTATATATATGGTATTTAGAGCTGTTTTGAGTCAGGATAACCTCAGAAAAAGGGGATTACCAATTTGCTCAAAATGCTACTTACGTGGACAGGATGTAGAGACAATCAACCATCTCGTTTTACATTAAAGAATTACTAGCCAGTTATGAGATTTGCTCATCAATCTCAGAGGTATTGGATGGATAATGCTTGGTAGTTGTAACGATCCAATCAGTTGTTTTGAGTAATTACGTCATGTTTTCCCTTTTGATACTTTACACATGTATGTTTATGGTTTTATGACTTACGGGGTTGATTAGTTTCGTTTCGGAAAGATTTCGGGTTGATTTGGACCCTTCGATTCTTGGCTTAGAAGCCTAAGTTGTTTATGTTGACCAATGGTTGACTTTTGTGAAAACGATCCTGGAATAGTATTTTGATGGCTCCGATAGCTTCGCATTATGATTTTGGACTTGGGTGTATGCCCGGAACCAAATTTGGAAGTCCATAGGTTGATTTATGTTGTTTTGCTGAAAATTGACAATTTGAGGTTTAGAAGTTTGACCGTAGGTTGACTTTTAGCAATCGGGTTCGTAACTGATTTTGGGAATTGGAATAGGTCTGTTATGATATTTAGAACTTGTCTGCAAAATTTGGTATCATTTGGAGTTGAACTGATAGGATTCGGGACGCTTAGTTGCAATTCTAGAAGTTCTTGAAATTTACTTTGAAATTCATATGTTTTGGTGTCTAATTCGTAGTTCTAGATGTTATTTTTGTGTTTTGATCGTGCGAGCGAGTTCGTATGATGTTTTTAGACTTGTGTAAATATTTATTTTAGAGCCCCGAGGGCTCAGATGAGTTTCGGACATGTTTCACAATGTTTTGGGCTGAAAAACATGATCTGGTATGATGATGCCTCTGGCGATTGCGACCTTAGCAAGGGGACCTCAGGTGTTGCAATTGCGATACCTGGGTTGCAATTGCCAATAGTGACAGGAGGCTGAGTAGTTCGCATTTGCGACAAAACAGTAGTATTTGCGATGAGGACGGGCTTTGCAAATGCGAAGCCAATGTCGCATTTGCGACCTCCTCTTAGGCTATCAGTAGCCGCATTTGCGAGGATTTCTTCACATTTGTGAGGGTTCGCAATTGCGAACCCATGTCGCAATTGCGACAATTGCAACTGATCAAAAGGGCTAGGAGTCGGGATTCTTCAACATATTCTCTCATTTTAGAACCCTATACTCGGTTGGAGGCGATTTGGAGTGAGGATTTTCATCCACAAATATTAGGTAAGTGATTCTAATCCATTTCCAACTATATTTCATTAACATATCTTAGATTTAACATCAAAATCATGTGAGTCAAAGAGGAAAATTTTGGAAAATTTTGCCAAGTTTTTAAAAATGAGAATTTGAGTTTTAAGAGTCGATTTGGACTCGAATTTTGAAACTAATCACATATATAAACTCATGGGGTTATGGGTAGTCGGAATCTACCATTGGATCCGGATTTGACTTGGCAGGCCCGGAACTTTTGTTGACTTTTTTAGAAAAATATAAAGATCATAGCTTTATCTCTTGTAATTATTTTCCTTGCATCGTTTAATAATATTAAGTCAACTTTGGTTAGATTTGAGTCGTGCGGAGGCAAATTTTAGGGGAAAAACTATTTTTGAGGGTTGAGTTGACCTAGTTGAGGTAAGTATCTAGCCTAACGTAGAGTGGGAGAACTATCCCTTGGGAATTGAGATTGATTGTGCTAATTATGTTATGTGAAATTCGTGTACGCAAGGTGACGAGTGGGTACACGGGTTATATGTGGTATTTGTTCGATTTAGATTATCTAGGCTCTTTCCATGCCTTTAATTGAATTGTCATATCATATTTTTAATTCTCATTATCAATGTATTCTTACTTGTGTTAGTCTATCTTTACATGCCTTATTTGACTTTGTTAACACATATTCTACATCTTACTTAACACTTTGCTCTTATGCCTTAGTTGAAGTTATTGCTTTCTGTATTGCATTGTAACATCCTTAATTGTTGGGTTGCTTTTATTTGAAGTCGTTATTTCGCGAATTATCTTCTTGTTGAGTTATTGGTGTTGAAGTTGTGAAAGTCGTTATCACATTGAGGCGAAGTTGTTAATTATTGAGATATATTCCTTGTTGATAAATTCACATTCATTGTTATTGTTGATATTCCTGTACACATTGTGGTTGAGCCATAGGTTATTGTTGTAAAAATATTGATATTGTTGATTCTGGCAAGTTGTGACATATGGGAACTTGTGGTGCAAGTTGTTATCGTGTTATGATATTGATGTACATGTGGCGATATAAGGATAGGGGTTAATGTACATGCGGCGGCATAAGGTGGGATTTATGTGCGTGTTTCTAGTAAGGGAATTACTTGAAGCCACGCGGTGTCATAAAGTGGATTAACGACCCGATCGGTTTGTTTGTGTAATTGCGCCGCGTTACCCCTTTTATTACTTCAAACATGTGTAAATGCCCAGTCCCCCAAATTCCTTCTCCGCGAACGCGATTCCTTCTCCGCGTTCGTGAAGAATGAAACCAA